CTTTTTAGCAGACGATCTTTTCGACTCAAAAGCGGCGCGCGTTCCGCAGGCGGCGACAGTCGCAGAAACAAAAAAGACAGGCGCGGTAACTGCAAGGAACTACAGTTCCTTGTCTGCAAAAGGGCCGGCTCTCGGCGTCGTCTGCTCGTTCGTTGGCGGCAGTTGGCGTCGCGACCGCTTGCGCCATCTCTTGTCTCCCGTGCGAAACGGCGCCGTGTTGTTTGCAGACCGGTGGCGTCGCTGCGTTTCCATAGGAGCTAAGCCTTTTTCTTTCTTTACTTTTTCCTCAGGTAAGTTCGCTCTTCACAAATTTTACAAAAAAAAAAAAAAATGCACCATCTGTGGGCAACCCTGGACAAAGTCGTAGCGCGATAGTTTAAGAAACCGAATTTTCCGGTCGATTTAAAGAGCCTGGCGTCTCCTTGTTTCACCCTGTAGTACACGAGGGGAGAAAGTAAAAAAAAAAAACTTATTTTTGGGTACGAAACTATGATCATATAGTGGAATATTTCATACCTCCTTTCTTTCGAAAACAAACTTACCGTCTTTTCACTGGGATGCATCCGCGGTGCGCAAGCACGTCAGCCGAACCAAGTTCACGTACTGGACACGAGCTTTGCTTTACTTGGATGTATGCGCTCGTCAACAATCAATCCGTCAACGAATATTTGGATTCACGTTCGTGGCCAATTAGTGCCGTGACGGCGCCTACCATCGTGTGCAAATGAAAAGTTCTATGATCTGCTTAAAAATCACGGTGCAAGTTCGGAGTCATCGCACCCCGTGCCCAAGCACGCCACGACCACGTGATCTCTGATTTCACCTTTGAGTTGAGAATTAGAGCTAGGGAACAAGAAGTCGAAAAATCATTTCATGATCCCTTTAATGTTGCCATAGGTAGGTCTGTTATTTGCACTCCATTCCTTTTAGAGCGCAGCTTTTAGGCGCCCGTTTCTGGCTTGAGCGGCGTCGCCGTCGCCGTCGGCGTAACCGCGCGGTGAATTATGGGTAAATTTCCCCCTAAATTCAGCAGAAAAATTTCGCCGCTCAACCTAGCGGAAAACTTTCTCTGGCGGTCGCGTGACCCCCCATGCGGACCCTCCTCCCCTGAGGTCACGTGACCCCACAAAGGTAACGTGACTCCCCCCAGCCGAGAACACGCGGCCCTCAGTACCCTTCCCTCCTCCTCCTCAAGAGCTGCGCTCTAATTCGGCGTTACAGGGAGTTGTAAACGGCTTTGACTTTCTCTTCTGCCTGTGCATTGCTGTGGTGCACAAAAAGTGAAGGCAGTCGCGTCGAAATCAACACGTAATCAGATGCCGATGCATGTCAAGCATCCTTTTTCTTTCCACACAGTTTGTATACGAAGCATCGCATATTCCGGCATCGCGAAATACTCACTTAGCATTTCACGCGGGTCACGCTCGACCGGATGACAGTAATTATGCACATAGGGGCCGAAAGCACGACGCCATCTGAGACGCGAGTCATTCGAAAACGTCTCTGGAACTGCGAAGGCATAAATACACGTTATTACGAACGTATAAATACACGTTATACACGCACAAGCCTGTCTATACGGGAGCGAACTCGTTCCACGCGCTTAATGATGGTCGTTCGTAGCGCCGGCTAAGCAATTCATCGTAACCAATAATAACAACGGGACTAACAACGCTCAAATTCGCCTGTATAACGGGTGCGCTTTCACAGACGATGCGAGTGATATGAGATGGGGGAGAGCAGTGAGCACCGTTAATCCTGTCGGGCGAGCGTCCCTAGAGCACCCCCCTGCGATGGACGGCGTTGTTGGACTCCTCCTCCCCGCTGCGCGCTGATTAGGCCTCGGGGGAGAGCGAATCGCCTGGTTGCACCCTCTAATTATTCGCGGCAGCGTCTCCCCTCACCCGAAAGCTGACAGTGTGCTGGGGGCTACGCACTCGTCGGACCAATGAAACGCCTCCCTGGCGTCACCTGACCGCGCTCTCTGGGCCTGGGTAGGGGGCGGGGAGCGTGATCACGTGGCGAACTGCATTAGACGGGTTCCAAAGAGCGCGTAGTTTGCAAGCACTCTCGGCGTAGGGTTGAACGGACTGTAACGGGTAGCGGAAATTGGGGAAAAATACGAATGACGAACAACGCCGCGTGACACCAGCGAGCTTCGCGATCTCTCATTTGCGCGCGCGCGCTCCCCTTGTGCGATTCCGATATTTGTTGCAACGCGGTGAAGGCTTGTTGGGTTGGTAGAGCCAATGTGCCGTTCGGAATCGGGGAGAGGGAAGAGGAGGATCCTGCCGCCGGGTACTTAATGAGAACGGCTTAATTTGGAGCGGTACAGTGCCGAGGGCGCTAATTGTCCTTCGCTCGAAAAGTCTTTTTGTCGTAAAATTATCTTCTATTTGCTCTGTTTTTTTTTCTTTTTTTTGCTGCGTTGCATGAAAGGTTTAGTTCACTGATGTTATATTTTTGTGTGTGTTTGGTGTTCGTCGGGGTAGACAAAGGAATGGTGCTTTGTTGCTTTCTTCCCATCTTCGTGTGGAAGTGAGGGGACTTTGTGTGTGCGTGGCGCCTTTTATTCTACTTAAGTGTCAATTAGAAGTCTGCGGGAGTGTTCGAAACACGAAGCATTAGCGTTTTGGTGTTGAGTCCAGCTTAAAGTTCTGGTTTCGCTTCATTTGCGCTGAGCACGAAGCTGAGGTTATGCTAATGAAGGTACTAAAAAAAGAAAAAAAAAAAAGAAACGTTTCAGCAATGAATGTCTGCACTCCGCTGGGAATGTAGGCACGGGTTTGTTGTTTGCGCATTTAATTCGAATGTTAATACCCCGAGAAAAAAAAACGCCTTTTTGTTTTTTCTTTTGTTGCTGTTTTGGATGTTTTGTACTAGCCATAAAATAAGTCAATTGAACTCTCCGCACACTCGCTACCCGTTTTGATATGCAGGTTGTAGTTAGCAGTTAGCCCACGTGTGGGCGGTTATGCGGGCGCATGATCGGTTAGTTGCGCGACTGAAAGCCTCACTCTGATCAAGAAACCTGGAACCAAATCAGACGTTCTTGACGCTCGACTGATTCTCCTGCCTCGTGGAGTCGGGATTTCAATGATTGCTAGAAGAGCAAACAGTATCTCGCAGGTTTGTCCTTTGTCGTCGTTGATCACTAGCGGATATTTATCGACTACTTTATTCAAGTAATGTGTACATTAATACCCAAACACGTTTGTTAATACAATTGTGACATTTTCTAAGACGCTAACAGTTGAAAAGTCAGAAGGTTTATTCAGCATTGCGCGGCATGTCAAATAGTTTTATTTTTATTTTGATCTTTAGTGAATTTTTAACAGGAAAAAAAAAACAATTTTCATCGCAGTTTGGGTTTCTAAACACATTCATATATCTTTAAATAATCCATCTTCTTTTTTTACTTCTTGAATTCCCCCGTGCCCCTTCCCCCACGCAGAGTACAGAACCAGCCCTCCATGTTAGCCTAGACTCTCTGTCTATCTTTCTGTTTTACCCCTTTCCTTATTAAGGCCAAAGCCTTACTTGTCCCATTGGGCGAAAAATCGGAGTAAATGGTCAATAAAAGGCGATTGCGCGGCATGCTGCGCTCAATGGCGCATGCCATTGAGCGGCGGCCTGACGACGGGCGCGCGTCAGCCCATCGCAAGCGGAGGCGCCGACAGCGGAGGCACCGCCGACGCCTCCGCTGCATTCTGTGCTCCAGAGTTTTCCGCTCAGAAAAGAGGCCTGGCACGAACTTTGATCACAATTTTTAGTATGGAAATAACCGTCGCACGAGCATACTTTTTCGTTTTCTGAGATGCTAGGATCTTGCAGAATGAGTTATCATCAAGAACAGACGATCTCAGAAGCGTCTTTAGTGCACCTATAAGTGTACTCGTGTATTCTTTTTTTATTATTACTAAAATATACATTATTTTGTGATGGCCAGAAAATCTAATATTGCCACGCGCGTCGCCGAGCGGGCGCGTACGTCGCCAAATAGATACCGCAAAAAAAAAATACAAAAAAAACGAATGGTTATCGCGTTTGACTATCGCGCGGAAGGTCTGGGTTCGATTCCTGGGAGTGGAATGTTCTTTTGTCTATTCTTTCAACTTGGCGTTCTCGTGAGTTCGAGAAGCCTTTTGTCTGATCCGAGTTCCGAAATGTTCTACGCGCCGAACGTTCTAGGCCGAATATTCCAGAAACCCATGCGGCTACAAAAGGTGCTCCGCGTGGCGAGCCGCAGTCAGTCTCGCTCCAGCGCTCGATCCTGCTGTTTCGCCGACATCGACGCCTACAACGCTAGCGTTCTTCTATTTTATTTTGGACACAAGTTTGCCCCATTATAAACGTGTAGTTTCTTTAGTTACTCTTCGCGTCATCATTCGTGATTTGTGACAATATATTTATCGATACAAACTCACCAGTATCTTTATTTGTATTTACTACAAACAATACTGCCATTAGTATAGAAGACGGAGGCGGTGTCGAAGGTAGTTCAGATAAATGTTTCAAGGCTCGCAGGCTTTTGGTCGGTCTTTTCGGACTTGATAACTACGTTTTATTTGAGTGGTGTATAAAAAAGGTTTACAAAGAAAAACATTTGAAACAAAAAATACCCACAAATTTAAAAATATGTACTAACCAAACTTCCCAGTGAATGATTCCATGCAAAATCAATACAAAGGTAGTAAGCCTTCTTATTTAATCGGTCACATCTGAATCTAATGTACAAAAAAATAATAGAATTCCCTCATCACATGATTGGCCGCCGTGAAGCCGCGATGTGAAATCAAAGACCTAACATGCCCGACCATTCTTTCTTTCTCTGCCTAAGGAAGTGATTCGAGACTGGTTTTTCTTTTCCCCCTTTCCTTAACATGCGAAAATGAATGAAGACTGTAGCCCGAATTAACAGCGTCTGTTGATTCGTACCAGTTGTAACAAACAAACAAAAAATAAACATATATTCTTTTTTTCTTTTTTTCTTTTCGCAGGAGCGGCAGTTGCTTGAGGCCCTGGAGCAGAAGATCGAGGTCGAGGCCCAGAACGCAGCGCTCGAGGAGCAAATCGCCCGGCTCAATGCGGTACGCCCTCCTGAAGCGGTTGCGCCGCTTGGCGCGGGTAGTGACCGACTGCTAAGGAACGCGGGCTGAGGCTTATCGAGCTTCCGGCTTCGTTATTCGACGTTCTTATAAGACTACTTAAGTAGCGACACTTAAGCTATCAGCACTTAAGTGGCGAGCGACTGTAGTCCCTGCCAGCTTAAGAAAGATCTCATTACGACTGGGCGGCCCGTGCGGTCGCATCTTGGCAGCAAGAGGAAATCACTTCCAAAGCGATCGACGCCACCACATATATCGCGTGGTGTCGGCCTTACATATGAACTGCTGTTGCAAAAAGAAGGTGCAATTGCTTGAAAACAGTGAGCCAGGTCGCACAGGAAAACAAACAAAAAGCGATGACTTCAACTTTAGACTGAATATTGTGAAAATGTCATTTCCACATTGCTCCTTAATCATTGAACGTTCCTGCAACCTCGGTTTTCTCTCGTCACTTTAACATTAATTTTTTTTTTCATTATTTTTTTTTTTTTTTTGTTTTGTTTTGCGTAGGGGAATACATTCGAGTTGACTCGCCCGTATTCCTTTGAAGATTCGAGCAGGTTATTGACATTACGTGGACCTCTTCACTTTTCTCGTTTTTTTACTAGCTGGACAGGCCCCTTAAGATGAACAATTTCCCGTTACGATGATATTTGGACTGGAACTCACACTCTCTGCTCGGCATGTGCGAGTCGGTGTCAGCCCCGGACCTTTGTTTTAGCGCAGGGGTCTCCAAACCCCGGCCCGCTGGCCAGACCCGGCCTGCAGAAGTCTTCCCAGCGGCCCGCGGCTGGCCGCGGTCTTTCTAATGAAGCCCGGCCCGCGGCCTGCATCAGTAGACTGTAGACCCGCTAATAGTGGCGCAAAAAAAAAAAGAAGAAAAAGTGCGCGTGAAGAAAAGGCGCTGCGGCACGCTTTCAATGCACAAACTAAAATACAAGAAAGAACGAGAGAAACGGCATCGTAACACGGCTCCTCTCGCCATTATATTCGTTGAACATTGTCAACAGTAGCATTACCCTTTTAGTCCCCTGGTTCATGTCTGTGTAAAGCGTGGCACTCAGTTAGTCGAACGACGCTTTAGCGAACGCCGACTTTTCATTGAAAGACACTTTCGCGAATGGTGGGCCGCCGCGAAGCGGTGTTTGCGAGTGGACCAGGCGGATAAGCATTTTGGTAATGAGTCACCGTAGACTGAAGGCGCCAAAGTTCCCACGCGCTTTGATTTATGCCTGCTAAGGTTTCTTGGTCGCAAGTTTTGTGTAATGTAATATTTAGCTAAATATTAACTTTCGATACGAAGTATATGTATACATCCACTTTAGGTTTACTTTTTTTTTTGTTAATACTTACTTTAACATTTATTTTTGTTTTTAAATGCTTATATATGTTTATTTACTTAGGTTGTCTTCGATTATATTTCTTTATTTTTCTTTTTTTCTTCAGTTTTTGAAACTGCGACAGATAGCTTATCCGGCCCCTTAGGCAAAAAGTTTGAAGACCCCTGTTTGAGCGCATCTCGGTCTTTCTTGGGCCCAGCTCTCCTGAAGAGGATGCACCTCCTTACGCTCGGTTGCGCTGCGGAGAAGCCACCGACAGAGAGAGACGCGCACGCACGCCTCGCTTGGGCTACCGCGCTCCTTTTTCATCAACGAGAAGATGCCAGTGTTGCTTCACCGATCATATTTGTACATTGGCTGACAGCATCAAAAACGCAGGACGTTGCCTACTATCTCCAGTCTTCTTCTTTTCTTTTCTTTTTTTTTTTTTTTTTTTTGTTTTGCGATTTGTTTTTTGGTGTTCTTCTCGGGCAGCGATCTCATTGGCAGCGCGATTTTCGTAAACGATTATATTTTCGCGGGTTCAATATTTCGCGGATTCATCGCTGTGTGGTTTTCAGAAATATTTCGCGGGCATCATATTTTTTTTTTTTTTTTTCAAATGAGTGTGGTATGCTACGCATCTGTTACCATAGGGAAGCATATTCCCGGGTTCTATTTTTTGGGATATTTTTCGAGTCGTGAAATTCGCCAAAAATGACCGGTTAGAATATGTGAAATTGAGTGTAATATGGAGAGTAAACGTTATTTGGCTTCGCACCAAAGCTTGCCGCTTAACAACGTGTGTCTCACAACATTTAAACTTGAATTGCGGTCGTATATATAAAAAAAAACTCTATAATACCTTGCTATTAATAATATTAATAAAAATTAAACTTTTTTTCGAGTTTGTAAGGTTTCCTAAACACTTCTTCATTCAAACGTATGCAACTCCTTGTATCCTAAGCGTATAAGATTTAATTTCTATTAACTAAAAATAGATAACTTTGAACTTCCTGGTGATGTCCAGGGTCATCTAAATATCTCAAAAAGGTCACATCTAAGGACTTCTCAATGGTTACCAAAAATCATCAAAGGAGCACTGTTTGGATCTTTTTATTATTAAAATAAAATAATTTGTGCAATTTCAAGAGTGTCACAAAAGAGTCCTAGTGTTTTACTTTGAGAAGTGAGAAAATAGCGAGCGGTCAAACGTACGATGACCGACAAGTGGAAGAAACGTCAGTTTCTGGCTCTACTGATTCAATGGTCAGTGACTTGAAAACCCTCCCTCCCCCCCCCCCCCCCCCCCCAAAAAAAAAAAAAAAAAGCAAACGCCAAGCTTGCTGTTTTGCGCTTTCTTTCATAAGAATGCTCCCAAAAACATTTTTTCATCAGTGAAAATTAAAAGTTAGATACCAAAACTTTGCGTGCATTTAGATGAAAACATCCATTATAACCGCCCTTGTGACCTCTGTCAATGGCAGCCATGGGATGCCTTTTTCGATAGAGCCGTCTGGCAACCTTTTTTTAGGAAGTTGTGCTTCCTTTCATGGCTGTGCCTCAACTGCTGCACCGGTCACGTGGTGTTCCCTCATCTAGGCCGGACAGACATCGCCGTTCACCCCTAACTTTGTCCGCGCTTTCTTTTTATTGCCGAACCGAGCGTACGTCGGTTGACAAACTAGTTGTGGACGTTTGGTTCGGGTTAATGGTTGGGTTCGATCGGTTTAGTCGGTACCCAATGGTCGAGACGGTTGACGATTCTCTAACGGTGCTGTGTTGTTTCTCCAGTATGCCTTCCTAGGGCTTTCAGGTAAGTTCCTCCCTGTCCGTCTCCTGCCATTTATTCCGCGTGTTCCTGGGTGTGCCCGAGAGAATTCGCCGATCCTGTTGCTACGTAAAAAGGCTCGTGCTAATGAACACGTTAAGTTTACTTTGCCACAACATCGAGTAACAGTAACAATGGATTTTTCTTTTTTTGTGATTTAACGAGTTGATAACGAGCGCACAACGAATCGCCCTTACTTCGCCAACGTGTGCGACTCGCGACAAGCTTAGCTGTGGGCAAGCCGCCATCTCAGAAGCTCGCTGTTAATTCTGGGCCAGGGTAGTGGAGCCTTTTTTTAAAAGCCCGTCGAGCAACATTGGCAGACGCCATTTCTTGGGCGCAAAGCGTCTGATTGGATCCGAGTCCTCGCCGAACGCCGACGCAGCCCTCGTGTCCATGCCGGCTTAGAATGTGCGATCGATCTATGCTTGGGCGGGCTTGGACAATTGCCGCATCGGCTACTGGATGGCGCTCCTTTTTGAAAGGAGAAGTGTTGAGTGACCCTGGTTGTTTACTTCTCGTTTGTATAGAGTACATTTGACCAGTGCTAAACTGTAGACCGGTTCAAACTGCCGTTTCCGGGGCCTTTGGGGCCAACTTTAACGCGTAGGGAGAATAGACACCTTTCCAGCGATTGTCACCTAGGCGAAACTACGGTGCCTGGATCGCGTCTTCGACTGGTGTGTTTAGCGTCCTATCCCGCCATACATCAAAAGTGGTCCCAATGTGGCAACAAATGACGTCATAGAAGCCGGAGTGTCATGCTGTTGCCTGTCGCGATCGTGGTGGTTGGCCGTAGAAATGCTGGCGAAAAGCACGAGCGAACACCAGTGTCGCTGTCGTCACTGCGTCCCAGGCGTCCCAACTCCCGGCCGCTCTAGCTTCCGTGAACTGTCACAATGGGGAGCGACCTGCAATAGAACAGGCGTCTGTCGCTAATACCACAGCTGTTGAGACCCCGCCAGGATCGCAACCGGCGACAGCATGACACATATATGACGTCATCAGGCGGAAATCGAGGGACCACTTTTTTGGCCGCGGTAAACACACCAGTCGGAGACGCGTTCCAGGCACCAGCCCGAAACATACCGAGTCGCTGAGCCGTCGACGGCGGCGCGGCGTCTCGTATTTTGGTGGAAGGGAGTTACTGCGCACACTCGGCACGCCTTGCACAGCCCAGTAGACAAAAATGGCAGCGCGGAGAGGGCGATTATTGTAAAGGTTCGCAGTGCCTGGAGCGCGTCTCCGACAGGCGTGTTTGCCGCGTTATGGAAAGGAGTCTCGATTTCAGCCCGATGACGGTCATGGAAGTGTCACGCTGTCGCCTGCGGCGATTCTGGCGGTGGCGCAGCAGCGCAGCTGGATGTGGCAGACGCCTGTTTTGCTGCGAGTGCTGTCCTGTTTGACAGTCGACGGAAGCTTTAGCAGAGAGGACCTCCATGTCGACAGCGACGCTCCCGTTCGCTCCTACTTCTAACCGGCAATTCTCGCGGCAACTGTCGCGAGCGCGACATCTGGCAGCGTAACAGGCCGGCGTCTGCGGCGTCATTCGTTGTCTATTTGTGACCACTTTCCTCCGATGTATCGGCGGGATAGGCCGGTAAATACAGCGGTCGGAGACGCGTTCCAGGCAGCGCAGCGAGGCGGCCCGGAACGACGAGCTTCCTTCGCAGGAGTCCTGGTCGGAGCGGCGTCGGCTGTCGGCTGAGGCGCGTGCCCGGAGCGCCCAGTGCTCTGCCCTGGAGGCCCTGGTGTCGCACCTGCGGCAGGCGGCCGACCAGCGCCGCCTGCTCGAGCGCCAGCACGCCCAGGCCCTCGAGGAGGTGCGCGCCGCCAGGCAGGCAGCCTCGGTCCACAAGGCCGACGCCGCCTGCCTGGACACCATCCAGGGGCTCGAGTCCAAGGTGAGCTGAGCTTTTTTGTTTCCTCAAGACTGACTCGCTGTCTATCGCACTGGGAAATGTATCGAAGAAACGACGGTCTGCGGACTCTGGCTGAGGACCGACCTCACATTAGTCACAAAAGAACTGGGCGCAGATATATTCCTATCATACACTCTAAGCAGACACACTTTGAAGGCGCTTGAGGCGTTTCAAAGGATAATGCTGTCATCATGCCTGCAGTCAATGTCTTTTGTAAGACGCGCGAGGTGCCTGAACAAGGTCAGAAAGAGGGCCGAACTTTTACTCGGCCTTCGCGCATCGATTCTGCACTGCCGGTTTAGGGCTCCCGCGGCTGAGGCGCGGTCGCACGACTTGAAAACGTGCGCGCGGATAAAAACGGTTTCTCAAACTCCAAGGCACGTTGCGCATCTCGCGGCGTTTCCCAGAAACGGGAGGGAATCTTCGACACACTTCCTCCGTGGCGAGGCAGTGCCGTTCAGACACCTCTCTCTTCTCCCACCATGGCCGCAGCAAACGGGAGGGTGCCTAAGCCTCGCAACATTCAAACACAACCTTCTTAAAGCCTCAGAGTGGATGATGTCTTTCCGCCAAAATTTCCAGGCTTCCGTTTTTTTTTTTTTTTTTTTTTTTTTGCCTTTTTGTATTAAATTTTTTTTTCTCACTGCAACTTTGTTATTAAGCTCATCTAAGCCACGAAAAATAAGCTCAATCGATTTCCAGAAACAAAAAAAGACAGAAGTCTTTGTGAAAGCTGTTTACACTACACTGAGTCCGCATGCAGGCGATGCTATGGTAGCGGATGGGAGTAACTAAGCAGCGTCAAACACCCACCCACGTGGTGTCACTCGTGTTGTTCCTCTGGGCGTTCTTTCATCGCTGAGCCAATGATGTACAGGGAAGGCCCAGTCACTTGCGCTTTTGACGCGGTTTGATTGGTCCCGTCAGCTCCTGGTGTCGGCTGCGTCCGTGCGTAACGACAAATGAAGTACTCAGGCAGAGTGTGAACTCAGCACCATTGAAACAAAGTTTACAACGCGATGTCACAACACTGTGTGGGAACGAGGCTAAGCTCGCGGAATGTGCAAAAACACTGCGTAAAACGGAATTTTTTTTTTTTTTGTTATTGCATTATACAAAAGACAGTGTGCTGCATACAGATTCAAACGCGAGTCACAGCGAGATCGGTACTTCGAATGCCGCATGGCAGTCGTTCAAGGACGAAACTTGGCACGCGGCATTCGAACTACGGGTATTGAGGTGACTCGTGTCTGCTTTCTTTTTGAAATGTATTAGCAGTTTGACCCCAACTTTAAACAAATCGCAGCCCGTTATCTTTTTATTTTTTTTATTTTTAAAATTTTGTTAGTTCTTGCCATAATCTTCCGTTCCAAACTCCTCAACAAACTCGCACCAGTCGGCTTTTATGTTCCTCCTCCACCCCTTTCCTTCCATGCTGGGTCTGTGGAGTCCGCCCGGCCCGCTTTCAGCTACCGATATGTCGCGCAAAACGGCAGCTCAGCGGAAGCGCGCCTATAGACCCTCTTTGTTCATGCGACGCACGCTCTCCCCGCGTGACCTTGCCCGTCTTCGACGCTCTTTATTCTCAATACGGAACCCAATTAAACTTAGGAAAAACGATCACGACGCAATGCGGACCTTTCTCCACTTCCCTCGCTGTTGTTAGTCGGCACCGCAGCAACAAATAAATAAAACAAAAACAAAATTATATATAAATATATATATATTTTTTTTGCGCGACGAGTTTACTGAATGGGACTCTTTTCGAAATCGGGACGTGCCGGGACTTTGTGTCGCGACAGCGGGGAACAGCGCGATGCAAGTTTTCTTTCGTTTTCGTGCTTCGGAGTTACGGACCCCTTCTTGCGATGGGTTATTTCGATCAGATAGGAAAGAGGGCACGAGTGAGAAAAAGTAGAGCGCGAAGGGCCAGGTTTTTGAACAGGCACTCTAAACGCTGACATCTCTTTCGAATGAAATTTTCTCGGACAGTGAAAACTATTGCGACTTCTGGTTGGGGTGTGATGCTTGTCTCCAGTCTGTTTCAACGACGATTTTACGCTATTGCTTGCTGTTTGTTCGTTATAGGGTCATAAGCTGCATTACGAGTATTGTAGACAGCCGGATGACTTAGAACAACGTCTAAATTCAACGTTGGCCTTACTGTTGTTTTGATGGAACACCTCCTAGAAAACAATGTGCCAGCTGTTTCTACATCACCCATCGGAGGCCATCTCGTGACGCAGATGAGCGCTGGGTCATCATTCGCCGGCACTCATTGTTCAGTCAGTGCAAAGCGTACTGTGAGGTCGAGGCCTATTAATTCCGAGAAATGCATCGGTGTTAGTTTTGAGGACACTCTTCTAAGACGATCGAGACCTGCGGATAGGGGGTCCAAGAGACTTTTTTCAAAAGTTTGAGCCAGCCAGAGTGCAGCACTCTCGAAAGTTAAAATATATTCGCTCTATACTTTGTTTCAACTGAAGTCCACAGGCAGCCGATGTTACAAGCGCGGGCATGTGGCCCTCAACAGTGCTTGCACTGCACGAGCGCGCTTGCTTGGCGAGGACGGTGAAAGCCCGAAACTCGCGCTTGTAGCATGGGCTGCATCTCGACTTGAGCTAAAACGAACTGTAATCATGGTGATAGAACCAGATCACCTAAGTGAAATAGCTACAACTTTCTAGAATATATTCTGCGCTTCCGGCTTTATGCTTTCTAAAACTTCCGCTTTTTAATCCTGGTATGGGGGAGCTGTGTAACTCCGCCACTAGAGCCGCATGAGAGCTTTACGTTCACGTATAGGCAGTGTAAAGTTGGTCTGTCTCTGAGGTACACTGACACTGCCGGTTTACGCTGTGGTTGAGAAATTTCGTAATTGCGGTACCGGTGCCAGCTTGGGGTCTGTGCATCGCGCAATAGTGATACACGACCGCTCGCTGATACGATGCTGATGCAGATCTAACCGGCAAGGGTGGAGATTTAGCACAGAATCCCTGGATTCTGGACAGAGTGGAGAGACTCACTTTTGAAAAAAAAAGGTCCATTTGAATTTCTGGCAAGGCAGGTGCAGTCACCCTTTCTTTAGTGGCTACAAATGTCTCTTTGCGTTGTCCTTCTTCCGCAGGTGCGGGAGCTACAAAAGAAGTGCGAGCTTCAGAATGTTCTGCACGAGGAGCTGGTGCTGGAGATGGCCTCCCTGCGCCGCCAGCAGACCCAACAACGGAACAGGGGCGCCAGGGACGCCTGGAGGGCGGGCAGGTCCTTCTCGGCCGAGGCAAGGGCGCCGGCCTCCCTATACGCGCCTGCATGGTGAAACCATAGACGCCTTGCAGGCAGCTGTGCACGGGCGTCACCATAACCGGCCTTCAGCCTTTGTTTTCTCTTATTCCGTTTACTTCACTCCGTCATTGCCTCAGCTGGACAGGTTAATGCCATTTTAGACTCTGCTCGGCCCTCGTCCCCAGAATTGGCGGAGGCTCGCCAACGCCCGCTTCAGTGGCTCGGCATCTCGGTAAGACAAGAGAAGGTCAGCAATGACGGCTTTTTGTAAAGCGTCTGTAGCGCGGGATGAGAACAGCGAGGAGGAAATTCAGTCGTCTCGTTTCCAAATCGAGCTTCCTACCTTCGATGCCACCTCGTTGGGAGCCCGAGAGTGCACGTGCTGCCAAGGCACAGCGGAAGGCATGCATGGAAACGCGTGCATCTATTTTCGCATGTTCGAAGTTGCGTGCAATCTTTGGTAGGTTTTTTTTCCACGTCTTCCATCCTTAAGCCCGATCCACATGGTGCGATTTTACTTCCGATTCCGAAAGTGCGACGGTAAGCACCGCAGCTTCCAACACGATTTTATTCATTTTTATTGCCACACGAGGGACGTCGTGACTGCGAAATAGCAAGTAAGATCGCACCATGTGAATCAGGCTTTAAAACGTGAAGACGGCCCAGTAATTTTAGACGGTGACTGGACTACTCGAAATTCACTATGGCCATCGTCGTGCACCGCAGGTGACGTCGTCCAGCAACCAGACGTGTTCGCTGGAGCTGTCGGACCAGCTGATGCTAGATGCCGAGACGTCGCGGAGTTCGCACGGGCGGTGCGGGGCCAGGTCCGCGTCGCCGCCGCTCCTGCTGGATGACACGGGTCTGGGCGACCACGTCGGGACGGGGCCCTCGCTTACCTGCTCGTCGGGTGAGTGGCCGAGCTCTCCGCGGCGTCCTCAGTGCCGTTATTAGCGCCGGGATGTTGCGTTGACGCTCTCTTTCAGCCTTATCTGTGACTTTACGACCAGGATCTGCCTTGACATGACGTCACGAGTTTGGATCCTGGCTCCTTAAGGTCGGTTCTCACATGCAGCGAAGCGCGGATGTAGCGCTCCTCACGTGCCGTCAGCTACTTATCGTCTGCCATGAGCAACAGTTTTGACGGTGCGATACAAAGCTGGTGAATGCTCCCATCAGCACGCGCTTAGCGCGAGGTAAGCGCTATGCTTGTAGCGCTCCGCTGCATGTGGGAACTGGCCTTTTATGAAACGAAGATGGATATTTGGTAGTCACCGCGCCGTGGATCGATCGTATTGATCTTACGGGAGCTCAAAAATTGGTGGCCTAAAACTCGCTTTTATTTTAATACTCTTCAGATGCGTCTAGTAAGGTTTTCAGAAACTTCAAATCTTGTTTGGTGTTTGCAGTAAAAAAATAAACACTCGCGCATAGTTAGGAGCATTTCATGCTGCCTGATCACCTAAACTCCTAAGTCGCCCCCATGCTCCTAAACAATTGAGTTTTCGAATAGAGCTCCTCCATGCTTTGTGTCCCTCGTACAGCTTAGGGCGTTGCACTACGCGTGCGCTAAACGCCTGCGCTTTCGCAGTGCGACGCCCCACGCTTTTTGTGCGACCCAAAGCGTGGGGCCCCTATTTTAAAACTCTCTAATGTCGAGAGATGGCGCCACCCTGCAGAGTGGTGGCGCCACCTTGCAAAGAGTGGTGGCGCCACCTTGCAAAGAGTGGTGGCGCCACCCGAAAAATACCGGAGGCCCATGGGTGTTTAGGACGAGTTGGAACGGCGAGTTGCCGGGATGTTGCGGCAACTTGCTATTGTATCTCGACGTATTCGAACGAAGCGCGAGTGATGTACTCGTGTTTGTCGCGAGCACACCCTGAAGTTCGCCTGCGAACTTAGAAATTAAATATTTAATTTAATGGCGCGGTAGACGAGGGACACCGTGCGCCAGGAAGGTGGTATAGCTGTTGGGGAGTTTCGGAAGATCGTGCTTTCGTAGAACGACATTGGTAATGGGATCTCGAACTACCTCTTGTAAGCTTGCTTCAAAGCCCGCGCTTAGAGACGCATTGCAACTTCCTCACGAAGTAAAACCATGGGCAATTTCATGGCTCTGATTGGCCTATTTGAACGTCCCGCTTTTTCGAAAGCAGGATACCATGGTGACCCCTTTCGCGCTCGTTTTCTGTTATTTGAGATAACACGGCTCGTGATACTGAGCAGAGCAACGCTGACCCAGGAAGCGACGTACCACTTGACGACCGCCGAGGACGGCGGTGGCACGATGGCGGCTGACGATACTTGGCGGTAAACAACAGTAGTTTTAGCGGCGAATACGAACCCCAAGTTCCCAACACCGCATGGGCGCTGCGCTAAAAGCGTCGGCCCGGTCGCAATAATCTCTGTGTTGAAGCACAACGCGAAGATAATGACGTCGTTTCCGATAGGGCCGTAAGCTAGCAAGCTAATCTCTCGGGGCGGCATCTCTATCTCGAAACGGCGTTCGTGTACGCGTGAATCACTGGCGTGCATTTACCAAAACCTCAAGCCCCCTTCCCCCCCGGCCTCCCCTCTCTACCGTGTAAACCATGGTGGATGTGTTTTAGCATAGCCTCCTATATACTATATGTACCTATATAGTATAAAGGAGGCTATGGGTTTAGTCAGGAAAGGCACGCCGCTGCGGGGTGTCTTCCTGCCGAGGGTCGTGTATTTGTTACGTGCCTCAAAAGAGGCCATCAAGGGCCACGGATTTTCCCCATGGTTTTACTCCTTGAGGGAGCAACTGTACGCCGCCAGGAGCGGTGTCGTTTCACCGAGAACTTCTGACAAAGTTTAGGATACATCTTTAAACTATTACCGTAAGAAAAAAAAAAATGAGTTGTGTGTATGTTTATACAGCCTAGAACCTGGTCTGCCTCAACGGGCGACGACTCTCCCAGCTGTAGATGAGAAATTTAGCCAGTGCAGTACAACCGCTAGCCTGGGTTCTTTAACGTGCACCACGCAGTAGTGATACACGACCGCACGCCGATATGATGCTCATCCAGATCGAAACGGGCGGGGGTGGGGATTGAATCTAGGATCCTCGGTTCTACAGCTCGGTCTTTCGTTTCACGTCCTCCGAGCTGGTGTGCGCTAACCCACTCGGCCACCGATCCATTTTTTTTTTAGAGCGCAGGCTCTTAAACGTCTTTTTTTCCGGCTTGAGCGGCGTCGGCGTCGCCGTCGCCGTCGCCCTCAACGTAACCGCGCGGTGCATTATGGGAAATGTCCCATAATGCACCGCGCGGGACCTTCGTGACGTCCCTCGTGACGTCACGTGGGACATCACGAGGGTCCCGCGCTTTGCATTATGGGACATTTCCCATGCACCACGCTGGGAGGTGGTGGAAGGGGAGCAGGACGAGGGGGAGGTGAGGGGGAGGGGGAGGAGGAAGAAGAGGAGGAGGGGAGGGAGGCGGAGGGGGAAAAGGAGAAGGAAAGGGGGAGGAGGAGGAGAGAAGGAGCTTGAAGCGTGAGGGGAGGAGGGGGAGGTGAAGGAGGAGAAGGAGAGCAGGACGACGAGGAGGAAGAGTTGGGAGGAGGGGAGGAGGTGTAGCAGGGAGGATGAGGAGGTGAGGAGGAGGTAGCAGGGGTATTGCCTCCCCTCAGTATCCTTCCCTCCTCCTCCTCAAGAGCTGCGCTCTAATTCGGCATTACAGGGTGTTGTAAACCTATCTAATTTTGTTTTGGTAATTATTGAGGTATTTAGCGCTAAATACCTCAATGTGATAGACTACCAACTAGCCCAAATGTCAGCTTTACTGCAGTTTGGTAATTATTACGTGGAAAAAGGACAGTAGAAACACTCAAGACACATTCTAACATAGTTATTCCTTATTTACATTCAAACTGTCTTCGGATGCTCACAGGGAAATATGAAGAAAGAGGGCTATGGTAACACATTTCGAATAGTGTCAACTCTCTAAAAGTCAGAAATATGAACACACTTGTCAAGAACGATATACCACTCTAACCGTTTCTTAAGGTGATCGTACGCATTACGTACATATGTCACAGTTTCTATGGAATTGGACTTTGTAGACCGTAGACCGTAGACGGCGTAGAGGATCAGCATTTCTATCAATAATCCTTGTTTTCCAAAGGTTATGCAGACACATCAATGTGAACAGGTGATAAGGAAAAGTATCATTCTGGTTTCAAGGCAAAAAACGTATGTTATATACACAGATATTAAGATCTATAATGTCCTTTGTAGGACATTGCAATACAAATATGCGTCGGTGCAAAACTTGAAGCAATGTTCTATTGTTTCAGGTTGGTTGCTCAAACGGCAGTTCACTGACCAAGGGACAAATCTACCTTTTTCGCGAAGCCAAGGCTTTACCTGCAACGTTGAAATGTGGAGTTTATAAAAGAATGACCTTGCTGGTCAGTGAGAAATGTAGCTTACACTCACGTTTCAGGACCTCTTGTCCCAGGCCATTACTGAACATACTTCGGTACAGGGGTACAGGAAATAATGCATCGATGGAATCAACTAATAAAGCTTTCCACGACACTTTAAATAAGTGTTTCAATGAAAAACGTGCTTTAAGGAACTCTATTGAGTTCGCTATCTGTTCGAGGTATCCCAAGGAACGAGATCTGCTCACAGGCACTGTTGTCACTACCAAATATGGCAACGCACTTGAAAGCTCTGCCTGCATGTAAGTTCAAAGGAAGTCATGAGACAGAGTTCTGAAGAACAAAAAACGTGATATAAGTTGTTTTAAAAAGACGTGTAAAAGTCCGAAACCGCCTTGCTGAACGGAACAAAAAAGATTATCTCGTCTCATAGGTTCCCAAGTGGAACCCCATACAAACGTTGCGAACACTCTGTGAAAATTCTGAACGTGGCCTCTTGTACAGCAAATCACCTGAAGTGTGCATCAAAGTTTCGCTGCTAGGAAGATATTACGGGCTTTTTCCCCTCCGAAAATCGACCACTGATTTACTTTCGTTATTGCCGCTTGGGTTTTCATATTTTCGACCCTTTCTGTCCAGTAATGTCCATTATTCGTAACACAGTTGAGGGGAGGTCCTAAGTACTAAGGGGCAATCCTGCTTCATGAAATGCCAGCGTACTTTGAGGGTGTTATGGCCCACTTCCCGCACCACAAGCCAGTACACTTTGCCTTGTTGATGAGTTCCCCAGCCGTAGAACAGAAGTTTTGATCTAAAGCGAACAAGTTGTCTACGCTTCATTTGTCTTTACAGAAAAACGCAATGTCTTCCGCATATGCTAACACTTTTACGTCTGTGGAGTAGAAACGATATTATTCTACAGTAGGGCTGTTTAGTCCGCTTAGACACAGGGGCTCTAAGTACAGTGCAAACAAAAAGGGGGACAAGGGGCATCCCTGTTTGACGGATGACTCTAGACGAATTGGACCTGACAGGGAGTATAAGCCTAGTGGTACAATTGCGGTAGCGTATCTTTATTTCTTTAAAAAATATTGGTCTAATTTACTTGGTGGAGGATGTCGAATAGAAAAGTAAGGGAAACGCAATCAAAAGCTTTTGCTAAATCCACTTGAACCATAGCCACTTGATCTGCATGAGCACAACAGCTCTCTAATATTGTACGGGCTACGTGTATGTTTGTCTGTATCGTTCTGCCCTTAATTCCACAGGTCTGGTGATTGCCAACAACACTGGATGTGACGTATTGAAGTACTTTTGTTAGAATTTTGCAAATATTGCGTAGTCCACATTGCAGAGTGTAATAGGGCGATACTTTTCAACCCTCGAGAGTTTATTTGCCTCTTTACTTTTTGGAATTAAAACCGTATGACTTTTATAAAAAGAAGGTGATAGTGTCTTTTGCTCATACACTTCCAGGAAGACTTGAAGTAAAAATGG